TCGAGAAATGGCGTGCTAGGACCTCTAAAGATGGTGTTGAACCAGGGAGACTTCCTAGACCCCACTGGACAATGTTGTCACAATTGCGCTTTTCAATTGAAAACAGACATCATCTTTAGAGAGATTTGTCATCTTTAAAGACTTCTGCACGCCATTTCTCGACCCGCTCTTTCATTTGAGCCCAAAAAAACATTCATATCTTGTCTGACATCTTTGCTACAAACTCGGGTCTTCAACTCGGGCTTTCAATTGAAGGCCCGAGTTGTAGACCCGAGTTTGTAGCAGCGATGTCAGACAAGATATGAATGTTTTTTTGGGCTCAAATGAAAGAGCGGGTCGAGAAATGACGTGCTAGAGCCTCTAAACATGACAAATGTCTCTAAAGATGATATCTGTTTTCAATTGAAAAGCAGAGTTGTGACATCATTGTCTAGGAGGACAATGGGGTCTAGGAGTATGTATAGAACATTGGGGTCTAGGAGTCTCCCCTGGTTCAAAACCATCTTTAGAGGCCCTAGCACGCCATTTCTCGACCCGCTCTTTCATTTGAGCCCAAAAAAACATTCATATCTTGTCTGACATCTTTGCTACAAACTCGGGTCTTCAACTCGGGCTTTCAATTGAAGGCCCGAGTTGTAGACCCGAGTTTGTAGCAGCGATGTCAGACAAGATATGAATGTTTTTTTGGGCTCAAATGAAAGAGCGGGTCGAGAAATGACGTGCTAGAGCCTCTAAACATGACAAATGTCTCTAAAGATGATATCTGTTTTCAATTGAAAAGCAGAGTTGTGACATCATTGTCTAGGAGGACAATGGGGTCTAGGAGTATGTATAGAACATTGGGGTCTAGGAGTCTCCCCTGGTTCAAAACCATCTTTAGAGGCCCTAGCACGCCATTTCTCGACCCGCTCTTTCATTTGAGCCCAAAAAAACATTCATATCTTGTCTGACATCTCTGTTACAAACTCTGGTAATCAACTCTGGTTTTCAGTTGAAATTGGAATTGTTAATTTACACAATAATAGGAGTGCATTGACGATTTTTTCTTAACTCGCAAAAATTTTCAAACAATTTGCTACCGATTGGTGATAAAATTTTTTGGAAATAATTAAATAGGGGGGATACGCCTTTTTTTCAGGGGTGATTTTTCAAAAATTTATTTTAAAAAAAGTACTAACTAGCAAATGTTTTTTATTAGCTCGCAATTTTCTTCAAAACTACTTCAATGAGGAAAAAAATAAAAATTTGGAATATCTATACATGAGGGGCTAATTGATCGGATCTTAGTTTTCCTAGTCAGAGCTCTGTAATTTTCCGTCCTAGGCTCGGTATCCAGTGCCAGCTGTGGCTCCTCCACCATAAAAGAGGGCGCTGAACTGTCAACCGGAGAAAATCAAACTGAGCAGAGCGCAGTACCAGGTACAATTGCTCGATATCACAATTATCCTGTCATTAATTTAATTTCATTAACCGTGAAGAAAATACTCTCTTGAGGCAGTTTATCGTGTTTTATCGAGTTATGTGTGTTGGTTATTTCATTAGCGTTTCGTCTAATACGCAAGTTGAACGTGCGTGCAAGGATGATTATTTAATTCACGATGCGAACGGAGAGATACGAAAGTTGCAAATTCGCATCTCCCTTGACTAATGAATATAGTTATTAAAATTATAATCGATTAGCCAATATTGACAACTCTCCTATCTCTCGGTTTTTGCATCGTGAGGGCTGTCGCATTATCATTACTGACCGATAATTGATGCAATTATTACTGATGCGTGGTGAGATCGATATTCGCGATATAAAACTGGCACGATCTGCCCTACGCTATCTACCACAGTTGGATCGAGCCATTGTCTATAAAAAAAATCCACAAATTGTCGAAAAAAGTATTCGGAGAGAATGAATAATTCAATGAATGCGGGAAGATAATCAGTGGCACCATTCGCGTGACGTTTTTGTGCTTCATTACCGTCGCTTTACTCGTTTCATTTAAAATTGCTCTACCCTTGGGGAGTTATTTTTCAATTAAAAGCTTTTTGAAACGTCAAATTATTTCCTGCATTGAATTTTCGGTATTCAATTGTCGTTTTATTTTTTATAAATAAAAGTGATTAAAATATGGAAACAATAATTAAAAATATTGGGGCTTGTTTAATTACGATTTATGGTTTAGGTATTTCATTATTAACAATATCCATTCGTAATATAAACTTGAAAAATTAAAGAGTGAGGTAATTTGTATGGTCATGACGTCTGCAATTAATTTCAATAATTTAGACAGAAACAATCATTTTTAGAATTTTTTTTTTTGTGAAGACAGACTCAATGAATCGAGCCGTAAGGGTAGAGCTACTTTAACCCAAAAAAGGCCGAGCGGATCGAGTGACTCGTGACGAAGAGATTGAACGACGCATGGGCGAAAAAAAATTTAACATTTAACAATTTAACTATGAATTTTATCGATTGCAATATTATTGATTTTAATGCGTCGCCGTCTCTTCGTGTCGTACGATTGACACACTGATCATTACGTTGCTTCCAATGCTAGCTAGGGAACGGAGGTAAGCCGAGTATAAAATGCCAGTAATAAATTTTCATTAATTTACTTTATTCATTAAAAATTAACACTATTATGTTATTTTTTCACGAGTAATATTCGTGTAATACTTTCTGCGTGTTTCTATCTTTATTGAACGCTTATTCACAAATGATCGTATCTATTTTCACTATTGAATAATGTGAGTAAATTGGTAACCCAGCAAACTATCTTTCAAAATCGTAATTAAGCGCTTCAATTAACTATTCACTTTGTTTCCTGCAGTACACTAAGAGAATAAATTAGTTCTGAAAAATTGTGTGTTCCCCTGAAGAGATCTTTTTTCGTGTTGAATCAATTTACTTGTGGACAAAAAAAGAAAGTTCCACTAAAATATGATCATTTTCGTTGTAGTAATTGTTCTCGTGAGACATTTCATGCCTTTCGGGTAAATACATTCGTTCTACAGAGAATTATATCAGGCTCCGGTTTTATCAAGTGAATGTTATTGAGTAGTGTATATTTTTGTCCAACAAACACTTATAATTTCCATGGAACAACTCAGTAGCAAAGCGGTAAACCGGGTCAAGTCGATTCTGACTATTGGCCAGTTTTTGACGAATATCTCGGAATCTAAAAGAGATGGAGAAATTCGTGTCATAACCGTTTTTGTAGAGCCAATTGAGGGTTATAAAAAAGGTTATGAGAAAAATTTTGCTATCTCTCTTAGATTCCGAGATATTAATCAAAAACTGGCCAAAAGTCAAAATCGACTTAACCCGGTTTATCGTTTCGCTACTGAAATGATAATTTCAAAAGGAAACTACAATTTTCTTGTGGAAAACTGTATCATTGGCAGAACTAAATAATTTCGAGAGGATAATTTCTTTTTTGGGAAAAAAATATTCTTTCCTCGTCAATGTATTCTTTCTATGGTATAAACCTATGGAGTTCTCTTCAGATGAAATAATTGTCGTACAATAGATTATATTTTTTCCTGCCAACAGTTTGAATTCTTCTAGGGATCTTTCTGAAGATCACGACGAAAATTCAATTTTTGTGAAAGATATGAAATTTCCTTCTATCAAGTTGGTTAATTTCCTTCAAGTAAATCTGTTCCGATCCATCAAATATTCTTACGTGGAATAAATCGTTTTTCGGCAGAGCTAATTTTTTCTCTCAGCGTACAGACAACTTGTCTAGGTCACTATCCATCATTTCACTGGCTTAAGAATATCCAAGTAATTTGGATGATTTTTTCAAATCAACACACACGACAAATTTCATAAAAAAACCTAGTGAATATGAAGAAAAATTCTATTACAATTCTATCTAAAATTCTGTTATTTTTTATTGAGTCTATTGAAGAATTTCGCAGTTTTAATGGGAATTATTTTACAGAAAATGTCTACCTAAAACTATTTTATGCAAAAAATCAGTAGAATTTCGTCTTTCATAGCAATATTTTCTATTGAGACAAAAACTAAGAAAGTAATTGAAACGAGACAAGTCTCAAAACATCCGAGTAAGGGTCACAAAAATTACTTAAGGGTAAAAAATCATGAGACAAACATCTTTATGATGACTTGGATATTCTTGCTAACGATGAGGCCCTGGAGAAATGCTTCTCACTTTCAACAATCTCACAGCCCCCGAAATTGAAAAAAAAAAACAATCGGCATTTCTCTAGTTGCATTGGCAATAAATAATCAATAGCCTCCTCAACTCATTTCATCCTTCTCACCTGAACTGTACACCCCCCCATTCATACAATTTCCAACTGATATGATCTGTGACTCTCTTATTATACTTCACGTTAAATTTCCATAAAACTTAAATCGTAATAGCAGTATTTTAGACAATGGTAATGTCCAACAGTTGGTATTCTCCTCTCCTCCACCGCCTTCTCCCTCCCTTGTCACTCTCTTGTCTATCCATTTCTTTTAATCGTTGCGTAGACACTCTCTGCACACTACGTACTCGCTTCGAAGGCCTTTTATTCTCAGCTTTTACTGCTGCGCAATTACTCGCTGACAAAAAGTAAAATATAGAGGGCAGAGATATTTCTTTTTGCCCTCTCTGCGCTCATTGTTAAATGCTCTTAACTGTACACTACAATTTCTTATTGCTCTTTTGTATTTTCGCCTTCTTCCGTGACATTTTTTATTGACATTGTTATCATTCTGACGATCATCGTCGTTAACGAGAGTACCTGAAATGATTAAATTGGTGAGGGAAAGGAGGGTGGAAGGGGCTGGAAATTTTTACGGAAATATTGCAAAATCAATTGGTTTGGGATAGAAGAGGTTGGTGGGGTGGTTGTAAAGGTTAAACGGGCTTAAGATCTCTTAATTTAAGACGTTGGATACAAAAAGGGGTCTTATCAGTGAATTTCGTGATGAAGCGTCCCTCGCGTCTTCTACATTTTACTCGAGGAAATGGCAGAAATTACTATGTTGACTAGTAAAAACTCCAGCAGACGACGAGAGCGTCGACTGATTCCATAATTCTAAAAAATTCAATCCATTCTCGCCCCCCCCCCTTCTTTTTTAGAATGAATATACGCGGAGCAAAGTTATTGATAATGATTTTCAAGGATGATAAAGCAGATTAAATATGGTTTTTCACTTCGGTTATTCAAAAAATCCCCCTCTCTCGCGCCCTCTTCCGCGAATATTCATTTTGGAAGGGAGTGGGAATATTCTTTTAACCGACGAAGTAAAAAATCATGTTTCTCCTCCTAAATTTTACTCGTGGCAATTGAAAATTCAACTTTTATGCCACCATTTTCTACTATAACGAGTCTCAATTTTTACTATGTTCAATAGTAATTTTTTCAACGGACTCTATCACATTTTAATTTTGTCAGCCGTATTTTTTCCATTCTCTCCGTGAGATTAAACATCAGAACTTTGAAACAAAAGATCCTGGAGTAAGACACTTCGAATGTCTATAATGCATGTCTCAGTATCGTAATGTGAGGCTAAAAATGACTTGAATTTGGGAACAAAAGTGTCTCAACTCCAGACACTAATTTTTCAAGTTAATTATCCATACGTCTCTCCTGTTTGACGCTTCATAATCCCTAAACCGTTTGCGTTTCATAATCCCTCAAGTCGTAATTTTCCACTAATCTGACCACATTCCGAAAAATCTCATCCCGTCGTCCATGAAAAGCCAAGGTGGGATGATTAGAGAACGTCTTTATTATGTGCATACGTGAGGTACCTTTTAGGAACTCCAGAACAGAGGGATTATCGAGGGATTTTGACCACAACCGGTTATTATCTTAAAATGGGAACAATGAAAGACAGGAATTATCAGCGATGATCGTAAAAATCATTGTCATCATGTACTAGACGTTCGATGTGGCATGTTTCAGATAGATCCCAATCATCTTCTACTGCTAGTGATGAACGTAACCATGTTAAACATCATGTTAACTTACAACATCAAAAGACCTCTAAACTGCGCTTTGTCTCTTCCGTAGAGTATAGGCACATTTCAGGTAAATTCCCTAGGAAGGATGAGAATCAAGACCTGAATCCTGATTTACATTGCACGCCTAGTTGTAGATGCATCCTAGATGCACCTAGATGACCCTAGAATCTGATAAAACGATTGCAGGTCACTGATCCGCATGAATTACAAAGTTACACTGTTCGATCAATTAATCTCTAGGAAAAATAGTGCGCATGTGCCAGATTAAGTTAAACTTTTCCTCTCCAAGATTAAAGATTCCGCGAACGTGCGAAGAATGCCTGAATTAATTATCATCTACTAAATTATCCCGGAAACAACGGGAGTGCATGAAATTAACTGAATTAGTTGAGAGTGATTAATTAACCTGATGAATGGCGTTAACGTGGACGAAAGTAACTGGTAATCGTCATTAGGAGAAATTGTGACGAGTCAGCTGAGCCCCAACAGTCCGGCCGAGGACAGCTCCGGCGAGTCCCGATTAGACAGACCTCGTTTGCAGCGTTCGATGGGCCAAAGCAAGAGGACCTTTCGCTTGCGAAAAAGTCGAAGGAGTCATATTGAGGTAATAGTTTATATTTTTCATTATCCAAAGTCATTTGATAATTTAACAATTCAAAATAAGTTGTAAATTGACCGATTGTTTTTTATTTTTACTTTTTATTATTTTTTTATTTTACACTTTTCGAATGATTGCAGTTACAATTTTTCCATTGAATGTTTTTGATTACCATTTTTTTGTATTCCCACATTTTAGAAGTAGCAATTTTTCAATTGTCTGTTACTTTAGATCCTCTTCGGCCATTTTTTCACTCACTAACATTTCTGTTCCTCTTATTTCCAATTTGATTCCATGATTAATTATGATAACAAAGGATAAATGCTTCAGAAAATTATCATCTTTGATTACTCTCTCAAGGTGATCATTCTTAATTTAAATTTTCCGCGCGGGAAATCATTGGATGTACGCCATTTCAGTGCTGCCACTGCATTTTAATTTCTGATCACTAGGGAATTTGCTCCTAACATTCTAAAGTCACAGAGATAATTTTTTTGATTGCAATTTCGAGAAACTGAAATCATTAATAATGACCCCGGCTCCGTAGGACCCTTTATAAGTTCTTTTTATTACGTTTACCCCAATAATTTCCGTTTCAATCCACTTCTGATTGAGTCACCGCTGCTCACGCTTCTCAGCGTCGGAAAATGAGACTATACATTCGTAAAAATGAGAAATGAATCTGTTTGCATGGCAACAGGTGCCTCACCTGAAGCTAGAGCGTCAGGAGGGCTCGTCATCCCCCATCCCAGCGACATCGCAGACCCCTCCAGCCTCGGCTATCGAGTCCACCACGTTCAGCCTTCCCATCGACACCTCATCCTTCCGTTCACGGCGCAGTTGCTCAGTTCGTCTGGGCGATGGTGACCACGTCTCCAGCCTGAGCCCAGTGGACCAACAGTACCTCCATCATCATCAACAGACCCACCACTACCTCCATCCTCAATCAGACGTCTCCTGGGACGACGACACATCAAGCACATCAGGCTACCGCGAGTCTTACAGCATGCAGCTGGTGTCACTCGAGGGTAACAACAAATCGTCAGCGCCACCACTCGCCTCACCCGATCTCAATGACATACCATCGACAAGCAGTACAGCAACTAACTACATGGGCTTCGATGGCAGCTCACCCGATTGTTCATTGAACGGCAGTGGTGGAGAGAAAACAACACTGTTGAATTCAAGCCAGAGAACAGTATCACAACACTCACTTATCATGGTATTTCAGGGGCAGGACGAGGACACACTGATCTAACGAATCGCTGTAGTAACAGTGTGGCGGACAAATCATCGAATTGTATCAGTGAATTTTACATCTGAAGAATTTAAACACGATGAGTATTTATACGATAATGTTTCACTAATAGTTGGTAGTATGCGAATTCGGGACCGACAGAGGCCTAAACATTTGTACGACGTGATTGTGTAAAGGTAATAATGTAAGAACACGTTTTAGATAAAGAGTTATCATCAGTTGACCACTTTTCATTATTTATTGATTCCCAAAATTGTACTTCCAGTAGTAAAAAACTGTAATTAATCTCGTATCAACGGCCGAATTCAGTCCCTAGCCCTGGCGGATGCCTCGGCAAGTCAAGACCGATGTCCGCCAAAATATAAGAAGTAGCTGCGAAAAGAGCAGTGATCATATCCAGATTTCCGGTGTCCTCTACAGTCATGGTATCACCATCGCTATGATGAAACCAGAAATACCTCTCCGCGTCATTCCACAGGGATGCGCCCGGCACCCCAGCGTTGATCCACCCCTCGATATCAGGCCCAGTCCCCGGTGTTCGAACCTCCAACGGGGTCATAACCGACAAAAGCCTGGGGTCATCACCCAAATCATAAAACCAAATGAATGGAAAAGTTTTGAAATTCAAATTTCACGTGAATCAAACCAGTGAAAATAAATTGATAATAACTTCATAATCCTTTGAAGAATGCACACAACAGCTGGTGCGCCATTAGCCTCTAGTCCCAAAGGTGTGAAGGTACCATAGTCAGACTCCATAACGAACTGAAGATCCGCCTCTTCGTGTTTGTGCTGCTTGATGTAGTAATCCGCACCGACAATTCCCATTTCCTCAGCCGTCCACATGATGGCCCTAAAGCATTTTAACGACACAGCACCTTACCAAGTTTATGAATTATGTATGGGTCTTCTCATACTACCATTCCTCAGATACCACCAAAACGGGTTACACTCAAACATTATGAATGTTGAATTACCTTACAGTTCTCTTAGGACGAAGATTTAGGGCTTTTAGGAGTAACAATGAATTCCAGGAGACAAAAGCACCAGCACCGTCGTCCATTGCACCCTGGCCAACGTCCCAACTGTCAATATGACCCGATACAACTACTGTTTTGTTTGGTTTGGTGCTGCCGACTATCTCCGCGATTACGTTTCGAGATTCAACGTTCGGCAATTGGTGCGCTTCCATCTTTAGTAGAATGCTGATTGTTTTGCCTGGATTGATTAAGAGATGAATCGTTAAGAGGGTCGAACGGAAGAGATGGGAGAATTAAACGAGATGATTTGATGGGAGAATTAAACGGAAGGGACAGATGAAGTCACCATAAGGGTCAAACAGTCTTGAGACATAGTTTGATGCTTGAGAACAGTTGACCCTTATGAACTCTCCAATCGCATCTTTCACTTGTCTCTCCCACTTGACCCTTATGTCTTGTCTGACACTTATAATACTACAAATAAAAGTTCATCTTTCTTTTACGCGTCTTGATTTGGGAATATCGGAGCAAAATTGTCGTAAGGGTAAAACGGGAGGGGTGTAAGGGTCAAAAGGCCTCAAGAGCCAAACGGGAGAGACGGAGGAAGTTATCATCAGGGTCAAACGGTCTTGAGACCACCTTTGATGCTTGAGAACATTTGACCCTTATGAACAGTCCAATCGCCTCTTCCACTTGTCTCTTCCACTTGACCCTTACGACTTGTATGACCCTTTTAATGCGCAAAATAAAAGTTCATCTGTCTTTTACGTGTCATGATTTGCGAATATTGGAGGAAAATCGTCGTAAGGGTCGGACGGGAGAGATTGTAAGGGTCGAACGGGAGATTCAATTGGAAGAGACCTCGTAAGGGTTAAACGGGAGAGATGAGTGAAGTCATCCAAGGGTCAAACGGTCTCGAGACCCCATTTGATGCTTAAAAATATCCGACCCTTGTGAACATTCTACTCGTCTCTCCCGCGTGACCCTTACGTCCTGCCTGACCCTTGTAATCCGAAAAATGAAGGTTCATCTTTCTTTTACCTCTCTTTAAGCTGTATTGATTAGTGAATATTGGAGTAAAATCGTCGTAAGGGTCGAATGGGAGAGATTGTAAGGGTCAAGCGGGAGAGACAAGTGGAAGAGGCGTTTGGAGTGCTCATAAGCTCACCCGTCTCTCCCGTTTGACCCTTACGTCTTGTCTGACCTCCATAATCTCAAAAATAAAAATTGATTTCGTGATGGATTTAATCTGAATTACTTCAATGAAATTAACTTGTAAGAACAGCGACTTGGTTTTACGTAATTTATGGAAGTCCTTGCATAAAGTGTCATTCAGATTTGATCATTCTGCCCGAGTGTCTCCATTAATACAATCGTGAATCCATCATTTTTATGAATAACTCACTTGTCAATATTGTATTCGTATAAGTGATTTCGATGAATAATTTCGCTCACCTCTGGCCGCCAGTCTACCCAGCAATTCGGCGTCTTCAACGGTGATGCAAGCTGCTGGAATTCTCGTAACATTCACCTCATAATCCATCATCCCGGTATGCGGCGAATAAATAGAGAACGGAGTAATTGATCTGATCAGGGTAGCAACAGCCCCGAGTTTTGCGGCTTTGCTAGCCCCTGACGATCGATAGATCACGGTTTTCCCGTAGGACACAAAGTCCTGATTGTAAACTACTATTTTTCCGGGCACCTGTATTGAAAACGAAATAAAGTAGAATTAAAATAAAGGCGAGGGAGTGCCGTTTTTCACCGACTGGGCGATGCGGAGGGAGAGGGGAGGGAAATAAGTTTTGGGGAGATGGATAGTTGGAGTTCACCTCGTCAGCTCGTCTTTTCAGCTCAGCGAAACTTTTAACGACAATGGCATCCGCCGTTATGCCATCGTTTGGAGTTCCAACGCTGTAACCCAGTCCCAACATTCGAAGGTCTTTCTTACGGGGTGATAGGAGGGTCGCGGACTCTTTTCCTCTGTTTTAAAATTTCATTGATTATAATTTAGTGCTGAAATCGTGGGAGGATTGAGAACAGTCGCGAGCATTGAAGAATCATTAAAATTCTTGTGATCGTTATAGATATCAAGTCGAATTCAAATAATGCACTGAGAACAAAATATGTTCCCCCGAAGAGATCTTTTGTGGTGTTGAATCAATTGACTTGTGGACAAAAAAGAAAGTTTCCACCAAAATATGATGATTTTCGTACTAGTAATTGTTCTCGTGAGACATTTATGTCTTTCGAGTAAATACATTCGTTCTACAGAGAATTATATGAGGCTCCGGTTTTATCAAGTATATACACTTATATAATAAACACTTATAATTTCCATGAAACAAACGATAATTTCAAGAGGAAACTACAATTTTCCTGCCGAAAACTGACATTTTCTTTTTGGTAAAAAAATATTCTTTCTTCGTCAATGTATTGTTTCCCTGATATAAACCTATGGAGTTCCCTCAGATCAAATGATTGTCGTACAATAGATTATATTTTTTCCTGCCAACAGTTCGAATTCTTCTGGGGATATTTGTGATGATCACGACAAAAATTTAATTTTTGTGAAAGATATTAAATTTCTTTCAACTAAATCTTTTCCACTCCATCAAATATTCTCATTTGATAATAAATCATGTTACTCATATGAAAAATGACGTCATTTGGAGAGTAAGTATTCCCTCGGAAGGATCTCCAATGCCATCAAAAATTCGTTTTCATAAAAATACATTACCTGATCCAACGAGGGACGGGGGCCGCCTCCCCATGGACATTCTCAAGCCCCAGCGTCTTTGATCTATCAAGAACATAGTCTATCGCACGCTCTAGTGTCTCAGTGCCCGTAAATCTTGGACCAAAATCATCGACAAATTCTGCCAACTCGTTCCATGTTCTACCTTTGAAGCTACCATTCACCGCTGCATCAATAATTCTGTTTACTACTGGCTGATAATTATCGATTTCACTTATTAGGTGGGCCGAGAGGACTGACGCACAAGAGTCAGGCTTTTTGATGGTGAAATAGGACTCCGTGTACCCGAACACCAGCAGGACAAAAAATTTGAGAATCATCCTGAGGGATTTCTCTATAAGTAATAATGCAAACCTGTCATACACTGTTGGAAAAAATGAAATTTCATCGACATTTCACTGTTGAAAATTTTCATCTGAATTTTTAAGGAAATATTGGTATTGAAAAATCAAATACTCCATTAATTTTCGGTTCAAATGGTCTGAAAATCAATAAAATACTTGATTTTTCAGTTCAATTATTCCGTGAAAATTCAGAAAAATTGGGATAATTCAGGGAACAATTGAAAATTCACGTCATTTTGCTGATTTGCCGAATTCTCCGGATTTTTCAGAACTTTCGCGGAATAATTGAACTGAAAAATCAAGTATTGATTTCCAGATCATTTGAATAGAAAATCAATGGAATATTTGATTTTTCAATGATAAGATTTTCTGAAATTTCAGTGGAACTTGAACGCGACAAAAATTTCCGGACTTTGGCACGGAAAATTCAGATAAATTTTTTTAACAGTGTAGGACGAAATTTGGCAATTACTGTAAGTACTGTCTATGCAATTATTTCAATGAACGAATTACATGTTTTGACGATGTGATTTGGCAGATATTGAAATGTGACACGAGTTGATGGATAACACAATTATCGATTTATGATCCCGGAGCCGGAATTCATTGCAATAACTGTGTTTTATCGGTCTTGCGATGCGATTATAAATTTTTCAGATTCGATAAAAATGTGATGCGTCAGTAGCGAATGACCGTTGAATCTAGTTGATAATCTAAAGAACATCCTATGGTTAGTTCAATCAAATTTTTCAATTTTTTTTGCAATTAAAATTGAGTATCAGAGAATTAAAAGATGATATACTCTATTGACGTACCTGCACTATCGGAAAGACTTCTGTTTTCATCGGATTATTATCCTGGAGTGGTATCTCGTGGTCAGCAACACAACTTTCAGCTTCAAACTGACGTATAATACAATATACATCCAACGCCGGATCAGCTTCAACGGAAGGGGGACAAAAAAAAACATCTGCCCCTTCTGTGAAATTGAATCCCAGAGTTATAATTAGCGCTGAACGCAGATGCTCTAAACTACCGTGAATTTGTAGCTCGTGGAATGGTCGGTTTAGTATCGAATTTGCTTCCATGCATATGGATAATGGAACAGCGGTTTATGTCGATATATATGTGTATCTGAACGCTATTTCCACCGGCTGTTACCGGCAATTGGCTTACACCTATCTTTGCGAATAAAAATAAAAAATGAAATGGATGATGGAAAGTATTTCCGTGAATCGGGAATTATCGGGCTTAGATTATTCACCAACTGCTGATAGGGCGCGCAGCTTCTTTATCAGGCGCTGGTAAGTGGAGCTTTGAGGGGGAAAATCGAATTGAGGGTCGGTGCACTAGAGAAAGTACTGAAATCGAGACAATTTTGCTCCATTTTCAGACGTTTGTATCCCCAATTTTAAGTCATTTCTAGAGGCTCTTTCGTTTAAAATTTATGATGTCTCATTTGTTTTTCTAAATATTTTGTTCATTTTTCCTCAATAAATCAATTATTTTTTCATTAAGCATTTTGGCTACATTAAAAATAGCAGTCATGCAGGAGAATTTGGAGGGAATTGGAGGAATAAGAAAGAATAGGGAACATACGTATTTTTTTTTTTTTTTCTTAATCTAGAAATTGTAACAATCTCCCTAATAATTTTTTGAACCGTCCAATTCGCATTTTTCAATAAGAAATCGTTCATTGAAAAGTGCACTTTTTGGGCGTCTCGAGTGGGCTGTGACGTTACAGCACTGTAGTCGCCATGCCTCTCACTCACTCTCGTAGCGGGAGTCGACAGAGCCGACTTGCGCTGTCTCTCTCGCACGTTAACAGCCTAGTGTGACTGCCGTGCTGTGACGTATCAGCGTCCGAGTGCCCCATCCGAGCGATCAACTTTCAACTCATTATTAACATTAATAATCCATATCAAAACCAAATTTTTTTCCATGGAATATTTTTTTTATGACCCATAGCACAAATTGAAAGGGGAATTTGATCAATTTGAAAAAAATGTATGTTCCCTATTTTTATGATAAAAAATAATGATGAATAGTATCCCCACCTGAGCTCAAATCTGTGTGCCTCCGAATTATTTAATGTGTGCATTGATAATTATTTGATTGTTTCCCTCATACAGAGGTTCGGAAAGTTGATGGACAGTATGAAGCGTCCCGCTTTCCATGTAATTTATACTTTAAAAACATCCAAGGTTGACTTAGATAGCTTGGAAATAACATGAAAGCTGATCTTGCAATGATACTATTTTTCAATTCATTTGATACCTCTCACCCTTCCGCCCCTCCTATTAAATCCAGAACATCAATAAATTCTAAGAGAATGGATAAGTGAACAAAAACGTCGAATGATTCCATGTCTTAATGGGGTTATAATGTCTTGTCCTAGTGCCGCCATCATGACTAGTCATTGAAGAGGCGTCAAATGTCGTGAATTGAGACTGCGAAAATTCCGTGAATTTGGTGGCTTGTATTTCAATACATTAAGACATGCAGTCTGGACAAGGGATTAGAACCAGGGATTAGATGGGCAATGTCCAGGTAGCTCGGAGTAACCTCGTAGACTTGCATTAGGAATCCCATAAAGTTTATGGCCCTTACAATTACAGGGGTCCTAGTACGATCATAGTAGGGGTAGCAGTGGGGCCGCAGAGTCAGTGTAGTGGGGAGCGCTCCGTGAAGAGCGCCGTAAGTGGTGAATGTAGAAAGTAAGAATCCACGAAAAACTCAATAACAATCATTTCACCTTTTTTATGCAATTAATTGGTTATGAAATGTCTTTCCATACCCACATTACACAAGAATATTTAATAGAAACATCTCGCATCTTCTCAAGAATCAAATCTTCGCAAAAAGAAAAATCGATTTTTGTTTGAAATTTATGATGTCCCATTTGTTTTTCCAAATACTTCATTCATTTTGGGCTCAATGGTCGATGTCACCAAAAACGTACTATGCTTCCATGGCTTAATGAGATTATAATGTCTTGTTCTAGTGAAAATGTCTAAAACGTAATCAAAAAGATGAATTTTAGACATTCGAAATATTTTTCTGTCTAATGTCTTAGATTAAGACGTCTTAAAGATACGAGTGTCAGCAGTGTCCACCGTTGGTTCATTAAAACAGACCTCGATCGAGTCAATTTCCTTAATTTCACAGCTACCTTTGTACCGGATTTTTCAGACAGAATACTCGATCCGGTGATAGCCAGCGGTCAATCGATACGGGGGAGTTCATAATGTATTTCGTGGGAGTGAAAACTTGTCAGAGGCACCGATAAATTCGACTAAATATTCATAAGACCTCGGGCTCGGGGTAATAATGGGAATTCTGAGAATGTCATGGCAATTACTCAGTGCGGAGAAGCACGATGGAAATTTTAATTACGTGGAAAAATCTGGGGATAATTAATTCTTTTGGAGTAATTGGATATTTGTATGCATGGTATTTCAGGGTTGTCGTACCATTTTCAATGTGAAGAAAAAAAATTCGCCGAGGGAGTGTCAAAGAATGACAAATGTGCCAAGATTTTTTTTCATTTGGTCACTAGGGAATTCTCAGCCCAGCGAGTAAGTTTTCACCAACAAAAATATCTTCAGTTCGCCGAAACATCAAATAAAATATCAGACATACGTCCGTGGAGTCGACTAATATAGTCATGGGAAAAAAGAACATGAGGACTATTTACAAGTCGTATTTGGTTAAACACAGCACGCGAAAATTTATTAAATTTACGGTGAAAAGACCTTAAGACACTTCCTAAGAATTTATTTTGTTTCCCAAGGAATTTAGGATAAATTCTCCTGTGGAAATTATGAGACGGCGAGGGACTCTGGCAGTTGTAATTTGCACAGTACAAACCTCCCCCCCCCCCCTTGCA